CTGATGATTCATAATACATGTGTATTCAAGCTCACATACCATCAGCTTAAGATAATATGGTAAAGGGGAAAGGAGTGAGTGAATGACTTGAAGGAGGGAAAAAAGAGCTTTTTGTTCGAAAAGAAAGAGTAAGATATATAAATACATAATAATTTGTGAGGTAGCGTGGTGGAATCAGGCTCTCGTCAAAATAATCAAAATGAAGAAACTTGCATTTTCCCGCAGGTTTGTGAATTTTTATCAAATTTTGTTTTGGAGCTCAACAGCTTTTATGGCCATTAGAGAACTCATTTCTGAGTTGAATTTTACTGAAAAACATTGATTAAAGCCACAAAAGATGTACATTTTCAGTTACCACGGACTCTTAAGCTAAGAAAATAACTAATCTTTGGTGGCCACTTTTTCACTAATTTTACCTCTGAAAACAGGTGACCCCCACCTCCTTCATTCTCAAATATCTCGACTTGTATTTATGATAAACGTATATTTTTTTCATCCACATAAAGACAAGTGAACAAGCTTTAATATGATACCAATAGCTTTACATGCCCAAAAATTGACGAGAGCCTGATTCCACCACGCTGCCTCACATATTATGTATTATATCTATTTGACATGATATGATAGCATTACCCTCCTAAAAAAATACAGAAAAATAACTGGGAACAAGAAGTTCTAGAATTTAAATAGCACACTAATTTTGCGGTGGTTTCGGTTTGAAATCCAATAGAAATCTTTTTTTTTTTCTAAAGCAGTTCGAGATGTGTAAAAAGTATGACCAGAAATATAGCTCATTTCAATTAGACATGGTTGTATGTCACATCCCTTCCCCCTCAACCCCCACCTTTTCTCCCTGTCCCTCGCACCTTCCCTTTTGTTTCAAAACGATACCACCACCCCAATTTCAACTCGCAACACACACACACACACACACACACACACACACACACACACACACACACACAACAACAACAACAACAACATACACACACTACCTAAAACTAACTACCTATCGATTTTTTAAATTAAATAATCATACTCCTTACATAACAAATAAAATCCAGTGACACAGTCACCCAAGGGGGCAAAAACGAGTTTTCCACATGGTATGCCAAAGTTCTTTTATCAAACAAGCATGTTTATTAGATGTAACATGCCTTTACAATTTTTCACACTTTAACACTTACATACATACGCTAGCACAAATTCACACTCGAGCGCTTACAATAAATAGGCTGTTCATTATTAACTCCAATCAAAGCCCAAAAGATCTAATAATTGTATTGGGTGTAAAATATCTACTGTAACAACCAAATCTTTTAAGTACACGCACTAGTGCACCTGCACCCATACCCTTGCCCTCCCGCCCACACACACACACACACACACACACACACACACACACACACACACACACAC